CCGAGCAAGCCCAATGTCCAATTGAGCCAATATCATTCGTTCGGGCACGGTATCCTGTCGCACTCGCTGCAAGTAGCGGTCTTTACACTCAAGGCTGAGTACCAAGGCATCCATAAAATTGCCCTGTAAGCTAAGCGTATCTCGGAGGCGCAAGGAGGTCAGCAGTGTGCGCATGTCCATCGTCCCTAGCAAATGAGCTAAGATCGAATGCGTCTTTTCGTAAATGTGCTGGGATTGTTGCCAACATCCTGCTCTGCTTAATACAGTGGCAACATCTTCAATGATGGATACTGTTCCTAGGAGAGATGAAACAGTGGACTTCTCAATGTCCCAGGCATCCTCATACGCCTTGCTCAGAATGTCAACCACAAGCGATCCAGCCGAGCGATATTGCCCCATTTCCATATAGGCCAAAGCAAGATTCGTACGGCACCGTGCCACGGTTTCTCCAAGAGGCTCTGCCTGCCTCTGAACCTTCCCCAGTGCCTCAGAAGCCATGCTCAAGGCGGGAGAATAGCGCCCCTGCTCAAGTAAAACTGAGGAGCACCTGACCATCACATCTGATTCCAACCATTCCATCTGACTGCGCCCGTTTACAATGGTCAGCGACTCCAGATATTGTTCTTCTGCCTCAGCAGCTTTCCCAAGCAGCCTGTACACGAAGCCAAGCGTCCGGAAGGCTGATAGAGCTACATACGGCAGTGTCTTGATTCGTGGTCTGACCAGCCGCACCGCATCGCGTGCCATGTGCTCTGCCACGCGAAGATATTCGCACCGATCAATCCCGCAGTCAGCAAGCCTACCTGCGATATTCACCATGCGATAGAGGTTGCCCTTGTGGCTCACATCCTCAGCCTCCAAAGGGTACTCGAGATTAGTGTACAGGCTTGGCCTTGCTTCAGCATGCCGTCCTTGTCGGATGAGGTTCAATCCGAGATCGTACTGGCTTAGACAAGCGGGTACACTCCCACGGCCTAGTTGACGTTGATTTATTTGTGCGACCTTTGTCCGAAGAGGCTGCGCCGCCAGGCACATATCCCATTCCTCATAAAACTCAGCCAGATTCCTCATCGCGGCGACGGTTGACTCTTGATCACCCACTTGTCGGATGTTAGACTTTACAGACTGAACTAGGAGAGGCTCAGCTTCAGCATGCCGGTTCAGGGCGACCAAGGCTTGTGTCAATCCCGTGATGGTATCAGTCTCTATGGGAGAACCTGTGGTCTGGGATTCTTGCATCCGTTCTAGAGCTTTCCAAAACACGGCAGCAGCAGCGGCTGGCTTGCCCTGATCCTGCAGGAGACCCCCGGAATGTATCATGGTCATGATTTCACCAAACTCGACATTTGTACTCATGGCATCTGTTGCCCAATGCTGTAAAAAGGCCTTTGTGCACGCAGCTGCTGTTGCTGCTGCGTAATCCTGCCAAACCTCATTTTTGTGCGAATCTGCATAATCACAGACTCCCTTAATGATCAAGCTGGGGAAGAAGCTACTAGTATAGGCACCGGCGCCTTCTATATCCAGTCCAATGATGCCTTCGCGCTGAGCAAGTTCGTCACGCTGCTTACCAGACTCCATGGCGGTACTGCCAAAGCCCATGCGACCCACGTGAATAGCTGGCCACGGCCCTTTTTCGGTTCGTTCTGAACCATCTGGGGTTTGCGGACATATTACAGTCCTTTCCCTACGCACCAGGTTATCCTCATCGCATCCCAAGTCACTACACGAAAACTTAAGTGCATCAGTGCATACATTCTCGTCTGAGCACTGGCCGCAAGTGGATGGTTCACGGTGACGATGGAGATATGATGGTTGGAAGAGCTGGTCTGACTCAAGACCAGGATACTGGTAGTTTGGTCGGTGCTGCAGGGTCTGAAGCCAGATTTTTGCTTCTTCCTCGAGGTGTTGTAGATGGCGGTCGGTCTCCAGTTTTCGCAAGATAGATTGGATGAACAAGGCAGGTACGCCACCTCCAACCTCAACGTCGGTGTGCTTCGGCTCTAAGCCACTCGGATATTGTTGCCCAAAATCGTACTCCACCACTCCTTGACTGAAGACCACGTCTCCGAGGAAAATATCCCGTTGCCGGTTTGGATCCGATGGAACGCCACCACAGATCCCTACGACCAAGGTGAGATCAATACTGGGAAAGCTAGTGCGCAAACCCCTAACTGCCCCAGTCGCACTGACCTTGCCCGTATGCGGCATATGCGCGACCACAACATTGTGCGTGCCGATAACACCGGTAGTGTAGGAATTGAAATCACCAGGAGCTTTGCTGTAGACCTCTTCGGTATCCTCCCAGTGATGGTCAAGAAGCGCGATCACTGCATCTCCTTCTCGGGGAAGAGCACAGACAATGGCGATCTTAAAACCATGACGATCGCGAGGGGGACGGGTCACCACAGTCATATCCGCAGCATGGGGCAGATAATGAACTTGTCCTATAAAGGGGATGTATCAAAATCATTCAAGTTGTAGGCCGACAATGTGTGGGGTTCTTGGATGATAGATGCAGGGAAGCAGATAGATCCATCGTTGATTGTATCGAGGGGCAGGGGATGCTGAGCGGCGATTTAGCGCATGAGGGTCCACCTGTTAATGAACTAAGCTGTCAGCCGAACGAGATCGGCGCGGAATCTCCTATAGCACCAATCAGAGAGACAAGATGGATCGGCAGCACCTCAACAAATGTCTCCTCGGGTTATGAGCGAATAGGAGTGAAAGTACCAAGAGAAATAGCGGGTAGCTGACCAGAGTTCATCAATTGAAAATCGGTTCACTCCATTTTCTGCACCTCAAGCCTTTTCATTACAAACTTATTGGCAATTCCGAGTCTGTTGCGACGCCAATTCAGCCTTCGGACAATTGGCTGCAACACAAAATGCATCGGTCTCGTCTTACCCTGGGCTCACCAACGACAGTTTCAGCTAGGATCATCCACTTAGATGGTCACACGAGGGAGTGCAGAGTTACTCGAGAAAATCAGCCTCCAAATCGTGTTGTAGCTTCTCGAGGTGCTTTGATCGTTGTTTGATAGTTCCGTATCGAATAGGACGTGGTATCGTGGGCCCTAGGATTCAAACTCGCCTAATACTGAGATGTGTTACCATAAGAAGATGAGATAGAATGGAAGTATAGGGTCACTCAGTAGACGGGTGATATTTGCGGTGCAAACTATCGGACAGACGCACTTTCTGCCTCTCTATCTGTTGACCTTTCTCTTCTTCATGTAAACTGAGGAGTAAATCAACCCAGCACAGGAGACATTGAGTAGGATGGTTGTGAGGAGGTAGCTACAACAAAAATGTCCTTCCTATAGTTTGTCCTGCAAGTCACCTGCCGTGAAATTAGCCAATTTCGGCAGGTGTGGATGAAAATTACATTGGATAGCAAATGTGCCTCCCAGCACTAAATCCACCCATACTTGCAACTTCACAACATCATCTCCCCTCAAGCAGCACACTACTTCCCCAGACGCCTCCCCACCAACCTAATCTACAAACCCCAACCAAAATTAATACATCGCCCACCCCCCACTCGCAGAAACAACCTGCCCAGTAACCCACGAAGCATCCCTCCCCGCCAACCAAGCCACCACACTACCAACCTCCCCCGTCGTTCCCAACCTCTGCTCCACCGGCGTGCTAGCCATCTGCGCCTCCACAATCTCCCTCGGAATCCTATCCAGCAAATCACTCGGCACCGGCCCCGGCGCAACAGCATTAACCGTCGTCCCATTCCCGCCCAACTCAGCCGCCCAAGCGCGCGTGAACCCCTCAATCGCCGCCTTGGAGGCAATATACAGACTTATCCCCTTGAAACCGTACCTTGCCCCAACCGAACTCAAGTTGATGATTCGGCCATGACCCTCGGGTGGGAGATACGGCAGCACGGCCTGGGTCATGAGCATGGTGCCGCGGACGTTGAGGTTGAAGACGCTGTTGTAGTCGTCTATCGTGATTTCGGTGAGGGGGTTGACGATTTCGATGCCGGCGTTGTTGATTAGGATGTCTATTTTGAGGGGAGTTGGGGTGGTGGGATGGGATTTGAGTTCGGAGATTAGATCTGAGGCGCCGGTGGGTGTAGAGAGGTCGGCTTGCATGGTCCATGTTTTGGGGTTGTTGGGGAGTTGGCTAATTTTGGTACGGAGGTCGGTGATGGATTGGACGCTGCTGGGAGAGACGTATGTCATGCAGACCTGGGGAGGTTTTGATTAGTTTGGATGATGAAGGGAAGGAGTTGTGTATTTGTGATGGCTTACATTTGCACCGCGACGTGCAAGTTCCCACGCGATGCTGGCGCCGATGCCGCGGGATGCGCCCGTCACGATGGCGAGCTTACCATGAAGTGGAAGAGTAAATGCGAGCGATGATGGATTCATCCTTAACGAGAATAAGGGGATTTCATGGAGTGGTCGGTCTCAATTCATCGACCTTGTGTCATTGGGACATTTATAGTAGGACATTCTATCAACGGCTTACGCTGTGCCGTGATGTCATTCCTCGGGTATAGGATATAAGTCAGTAACTCCGAAGCCATAATCCTCTAGACACATCCATTGCAAATTGGCCAAATGAACATTAGCCAAACCGTTGCTATTTATCAGGGCGTACACTAATGGTTGGGCAATGGCAAGGTAGATCTGGGGAAACCGATCAACCTATTATAGGATAATGTCTTGCGCAATGCACAGTGGCATTATGACCCACTAGTACAATGCAACACACAGCAGACCTAGGAAGAGCGAACGAGACGAAGAATAAGAGCAGAACATGCCTACAGTATATATAATACCAAGTGTCAAATTCATGTGGGCGCGGAAGAATTTCAGGTCATTGCTTGCTAATTACACCAATACGAACAAAACTTTAAGCCAATGCAGAACCAACATATACTGTCGAGCTAATCACATAGAGTCATTGATTCATCGGTGTCCTCTGGTCGTAACGATCCCCAGACCGACATGAGCACGTCATCGTCACAGTCATTCCCGTGTCTCAATAGGAAGCTTTTTCTCATCGTTCACAGAATATCGCAGGTTCCAGATACCTGGGTCTGTGGGGGACTGACAGGCACAGTCACCTCACCAGCCACCACAGTGCTGCTGCCGTCAACTCCTTGGAAGGTGCAGAATCCGCCTCCGACAGAGGAAATCTTGGTAATTGACAGTTGGTTGGCTGATGATGAAAGGTGTTAGTAACAGGTCTTTCAAGGCCGGGAGTTATAAGTCAAAGACATACTGATTACATGAGTGGTATCGTCAGCTGGGAAGCTTTGGAAGAACGAGGAACCGTCGGCGCCCCAGAAGGTGATGGCGACTTCGAAGGTTGAGCTATCAGTGGGAGCGGCGCTGGACAGAGCAGCGAAGGTAGAGCAAGCCGCGGTGATGAAAGAGGTCTTCATTTTAATAGAATGCTTTGGATGAATCGATATGAGATGTTTTTGAAGAGGCTTCTTGTCAATATGCAGATGAGAAGATGCTGGTTTGAGGGTTGTGTTTTTTCTCGAGTGGCATGGACAGACGGAGGCATATAAATGTTTTCAGTCGCTCCTGCTCGCTCAATAATTCCCACACCGCTTGATTCATATGATGTTCTCCTAGATGTGTTCGTGGTTTCCGTATTGGGCATACCAAAAATAGGCATCTACAGGTCTGATGCATCGATGTCATAGGACCGGTGCCACGGAAAGATCGCCGCTGTCAGGCAAGCCACCCGTGACTATTAAACCCACCCCGACACTCGTAGCGAGAGGTGACTGGTTCGAGAGCGAGACATGTTCAAGGCATTCATTAGTTGGACAATTTGGGTTCAGATCGTGTCTGACTCAGATCAAGCCCGATCGGCACTATACGAGCCGCGTGGTGCCCCGCAAACTCCGATTAGTGACTCGATCGGTCCATGTCTAGAGGACAGATGAGACATAACCTCGTACTTGTGCCAAGTGAGCCACATTTTTATAGTTGTAAGAATAAGACATCCTACATTGTTCTCAGAAGGGGCTTAGCTTGACGACACCGCAACGTAGGAAACAGATTAGGCATCACTAAACTGGATTTAGTAATTGTTCAAACGAACATCCTTCGATGACATACACGAACTGTGTATGCCGGCTGGGCTGAGGGTTGGGTAGTAGTGAGGCTGTACGAAAGGATGTTGTGGGCACACATGATTCGCTTTGAAAGGCGTCCAAGCAAGGAGGCATAGACTTCGAGGGGAACGATGCGTTACACAGTAGACATCCAAGCCTACATGCAGTTCAGCGATGCGATCTCGAAAGCCCTGTAGCTCACCACACAGAATGAATGAGCGGCGAAATTGGGATATACTCTCTAAGGTATTGAATTAAGCTAGCTTAGGTCCCGACTTTAGTAATGAGGTTATCAGAACTGGTCACCATCACATATGACTTGCAATCTTGTACAAAAAGAAAAAGTCTGTATGTGCTTAGAATCCGGGTGCTGAGTTACTAACCAATAGGCACGTTAGGACAGGCGCACAGTTTCCTCCGCGACAACCTTTGCAGCAGAAGCCTTGTGTGTATCAAACTTGCGATAGGTTTCAGGGCCAGGGCACAGGGTAATTCTGAGACTCTCCTGATCTACTAATTTCTTCATTCAAGCCCGTTTTCGTCGGGTTTTCTCGTCACGGATAATTTATGCGTGCTATAAGGCTGAGTACCTAAGGCGGTTGCTGCTCCGAAGGAGCGCCGGAAATATGATAGCAAAGACCCGCATGTGCTGGCATATGCCGGACAATTTGACGTGTTATTTCTCCATTCAGCGCTGCATTTCCCGAAGGGTCCGGCTGGGCAAGGTTTGGACGAACATCTGCACCACTGGCTCTGGCATCGGCTTGGAAGTTTCAGCCTTATCCCTTGTTGTCAACACGATCGTTCAGCGAATAACAAGGCAGAAAAAGTCAATATGATGCAGGGTCGATTGCACTTTCAAGGCCAAGGAGCACTTGAGGATCTATTTATGCGAAGGGATGATATGGGATGAGTTGTTTATCAATTCAAAACGCAGCAGGATGCAGAAAAGCCCGTTCCAATGCGGGGAAACTGGCCGACTCTTTGATCACGAGACCACCCTCTCCCTCTCTATGCACGACCTGTCAATTACTATACCCCCATTTACTTGAGGACTTGGCTCTACTCAGCGGTTCAGTACCCTGGGTTACTATGGGCTTTCATCGCCTCTATTCCGGCTGAGAGGAGAATGAAGGTCGCAATGCTCAAGGAGACAGGGTAGTAAGGTCATATCAAGCAGTGAAGACATAAACATCGCCTCCAAGAACTGTACTGTCAAGCACTATCAATCAGCAAGTCACTAAAATCCACATATCAACACTTAATCACCAACCATTAATATCCAACTCCAGCGTCACAAGACATATCCACGACTTTTGCCCACAGTTCTTTTCCCATTGGCTTTATTCAACATCGCAGCAAACCTAGCCTCCGCTTCAATACCATTGATGCTTTCAACAAGCTTAATGTAGCCCTCGTCATCCAACGCGAAGAGGGCTTCTTTCACCCAAACACGACAAGTCATGGCTTCATGAAAGCGCGTCGAGTACTGGATGGGGATCTGCGACAAGCGGGTCTCCAACGGGCCGTGCAGTGCGGGGTGCAGATCTCCCACCTTCAGCGCCAGAAGGTATTGCCTGGAAGTGATGACCTTTTGGTTCGACTTGATCTCATAGCTGTAAACATTTCGATTGGGGAAGTTGATGATATTGAAAATGGTGCCATCGGTCGGGGATTTGGCAAGGCAGAGACCCCAGTGGAATGTCGAGCTGGACTCTCGATCTGCAAGGAAGAGGTAGAGACCGTTGGGCTCTAAGTGCAGGGCCATGTGGGTGACAGTGGTGGAAAGTATTTAGAGGATGTATAAAAGTTTAGAGTCGGTGGATGCGACCCAGTTGCAGATGTATACTGGGTAGTGGGCACTGTACCCCTCATGTTCAGGGTGTTCTTCCAGCAGCTGAGGCGGAAGCTGCGCCACATTTGCAAGGATATGATGTGGCGAGCAAGTGAATGAAAAGTGGATGTGGTAATCCTAAGCGACACTTGTGGGATTATATATTCATAGCGGGAAAGCCTGCGTTAGTAGTCTTGACTAAAGGTTATCAACTCGGGTCTAAGCTCATAGCGTGTCCGAGGTTACGTCGTCAGTGGTTCAGCTTCGTTCAACGCCAGCGCTCTCATTAACAGCTGAGAATTAAACACCGGTCATCACATGATAACAGTAAGAATGTCTTACAATGAAAACGCAGGCACATCCACTTGGGCGTTTGCCGACGAAGTGAGGTTACTACAATATTGAAGGAAGGTGATGACCAACACCCCTGCGAGGCTAACATCATGCCAAGGCCCTTCAGGCCACGCGGGTCTGATTTCACACTAAGCCAATCTGTGAGCCCCTATTCTCATACCCGCAGAGATATAGCATGACTGAACTTGGGCAAAAGCCAGCGGGACTCGAATGCATTCCCTACTGTTGTTATCACGAAGGTGCGCGACTACGCGATCAATCACAAGAAGTTGTCGCAGGGCAATAGTGTGGCAGGCGCTGCACTGTTCCTGCAGGCAGTTCTGGCTGACTGGCTTTGGCACGACACTGGCCATCTGAGCTGGTATGTCTGGTCCCGGAAACATGATAGGAAGAATTTATTTATCCCACTAAATGTTTCGACATGAAGTGGTCTAGCTTGATGGCCACTCTTTTTTTCCCATACGCATATTATGACGAAGCTGGTATCGAGGAATGCCATGTCGCTGGTCCCCTGGCTCTGAGTAGCCCTCAACTATGTCGATAAGGAATCCTTGACGTCTGTGTATCCTGATTTGTGGCTTGATTCTTGTTTCTTTTCAGCTGCGACAGAGTTTGAACATTCATTGCGGGCCAGTTGCGCATCCTGGCATAGCCAGCTAGTGACCAGACCCACTAGATGAATCCGGGGTTGAGATTTTGAGACTCAGTTGAATGGGGTTACGATAGAAGTTACAGACCAACGCAGAGTGAGTTAACGTTAAAGGAGGCGATTCAATCCTTTTGTGGCGACGCCCCGAGCCATCCGAGCTTCCGAGCCTGCGGTGAACCGTGCTCCCCAGTCGAGAAGAATGATTGAGCTAATGATGTTTAGTACTACGGGACACTCTCCTCATTACTATATAAATAGAATAGTGGGATGGGGCCACGTGTGTATCTGTCAGCTCTTCGAAATACCCGTGATCATCACGCTTCCGCATGGGAATGCCACGAACGATACGGTGACCACGAAACAGGTACCTGCACCTGTCCAACTGTCCAATTCACCCATATTTTTGAGCGTTACGACTTCCATAATGCCTGATATGTGTTGCTCGGACGATGCGTTGTACGCATCGGGTGGGAAGGGCTCCATGCGATATTTATTTCTTCATGGAGGTCATTCTCAACTAGCCCCTCCTGACAATTTCTCGGTGGAGGCCAAAGTTCTTGTACAGAATACTCATGGAGAGATGTAAGCAAGCAAAGCAAACTTTATCCCAATAATGCGCTTACTTTCGATTACGCGCCCCTGTCGGCCGAAATACTGACTTTCTTACTAGCTTTTTCGACGACAGCCCAGATCAACCCACCTCACAGTATCAGTTCATTGATCGCACCCTAAAATCCGTCAATGGGAAGGAAGATGCGTACATACCAAAGCAGCTCTTTGTAGAAAAGATGCTGATGAATGTTTCTATCCCTACATTACTGTTCGCCGAAATTCCACGGTGGGTCTTTTTCCGACCTTGACATCTCTGTCGGAACGAGAACAACTGATCAAATACAGTGACCATGCAGATACCCCAAGCAGCGAGAATGTATCTTATGTGTATGTGTACCTAAATATTTTTCTCCTCTATCTAATTTCTGCTTGCTGTCAGAATCTACCATGGTTTCTCGACTCTAACGTCCCGCTTCAGCACCCTACTAATCCTCGGCCGAACCGGTGTGGAGCAAGCCTCCTTCCAGGACTATGAGTATCTCAAATCGATGCTTCATCTATTCGTTCCCCGATTTGGACGGGCCATATCGCGCATGAGCGACGTATACCTCCCCGGAGATGCACTGAATCTGTCGCATGAGGTTGCCGGCTATATGATGGTCCCGTCGGGACATACCAACAATCTTCGCACCTTTCTTGCCATGTATGCGAAGCGCTACATGCTCAAGTCATCTAGCGAAACCGAGGTATTAGAACGGTGTTTGTTGCATATGCTAAAGATGCCGTTTGAGTTGAGCTCGGCAATACGCTATGGTCTTATTTTGTATTGAGCTTGTTATTTCGGGTTGTGGGCGGCGCTGGTCTAGTCTGCCGATGTATCGGCAGAAATTTGAACGCGGATTCTGCATATGTAACGTGTGATACCTTTTGGATCTTGGGTGGTTTTGGCCAATTGCGTGTCAAAAATGCCAGGCATTGACCCTTTACGTCGAAAACGCTTGTTGAACGCGGACGAAGAAAGGGCGATTATTTCTTCTACACCGATTGCTGCCATAGCATACATGATGTGACAAGTGGATATATATTCCGATGGTTCTGTCCTCTGATATACCACCTAAATTGAAGCTCAGACGTGCATGCTCGCACCCCGCTCTTGATGAAAATCACTCTCTCAATGCCATGGGAAGCTACAAGTCTCACGTCCTCGGTCTTCTAGCCCAGCCAGTCTTGTACTCTGCCTGATGTAGACGTGGAAACACATGCGCTTCGGTGTTGAACACCACGTCAGTCAATGGGAGAAAATCACTCGGTGAGAAGAGGAGATGGAGGTATTTCAAGGTTTCCGCCTGGAAGGTGTCAGCTTCTGATGCGCATATCGTATACAATCGCCTCAACATACCAGCCAAAAGCTCTCCATATTATCACGTCTCTTTGGAGGAACTATCGTGACATCACTAAGAGGCGTATAACCTTCGCCGTCCTTTACCCGCGTGTGCTTTTGGAATGCCTTGAAGATCTCCCATCCCCATTGTCGATATATCGGATCTTTCGTAACACGATACATTACGAAGAGGCTTTCAACAGTCTCTGGACGTTGCAAGTTATCGGCATCTATTAGTCGGATGTTGATATCCTTAATCCACGAGTTTAAGTCGTCTCTGCTTGAGGGTCGAGGCGCATTTGATTCTGAGAATGGCTCAAGGTCGGAATCTTCTGTCTCGAACCATACAATTTCCGGTGCTAGTCCTGTCTCTGTGACTGCGTATTGCGCCCAGCATGTCTTCGTTAGCTCCCTTGCGAGACGCATCTGCTCCTCTTTTGGAGCATTCCAGTGTCCAGTTCTGCGGGCCTCGGCTTCAGTCAACCCTTCCGTAGCCCCGATTGCGATGGATCCTGGGAGAAAGCAGACGAGATGGTCCATCTTCGGGGAAAGACGACCACCAATGCCGCTTGGAAGCTCTGCTATGTATTGGAGGTTGGAGTGCTTGGTGGAAGTAAGAAGATGCTTCTGAATCCCGGTGAGTGCCTCTTCCCACATCTCCCCGTAGACGGATTCGTTGGTCTGCAGGTATTGTTTGATCAAATATTCTGTGTCTATATGAGCATGTATTCAACGTGTGGAATGGTCATGCAGACTTACCATAGTACGAATCGCCACGACTTCCGAGCCGGATAGTTTTATGTCGGAACCTCCCAGTATCCGGATTCACGAATATGGGTACAAGACCATCCTTCACGCCGTGGCTATCGAGTACCTCCATCACCTTTTCAGCTTTGCGCCAATACACATTTTCTCCTGTTAGATGGGATAGGTACTTCATCTCCAACTGCACGGTGGCAGCCTCAGCAGTAGATGAAGCACCGCCATCAGCATGCGAGTGGATTCCTTCTCGTTTTGCTAGGTTGACGCTAGCATAAGGAATCCCCGACCCCGAGTCATATGCTGCCAGCAGGCGGTCTGCTAAGTCGACTGCTTTGGACAAGTAAATGGAATCCCGCCCGGAGGAAGCACCTGGAAGCTGAGTGGAGAGGTAATGAGCAGACAGCAGGCCCCCGAGCATACGTATTGTGGTCTCGAATGTGTTCACGTCTTGGTCTTGATCGTAGGTTAGATTCTTATCAAGCCATTGTCGAGCATCCGATAAACGAGTCGTAAGATTCATGATCATGAGCGTATCCAGGCTGTCTACGATTATCCATCCGAGGCCATTGGGGCTCATCTGAGAGCCCCTTTTTGACAATGGATGGAATCGGTCTTGTCCTGCTCGAAAGTTGGATTTTCAATCATTAAGATTTGATGCAATGCCGTTCGTCACTCACCCCAGGCATACTTTGCATATGCATCCCAGCTAGTGGTGAAGGCTGTTCGAACCTCCTCTCTATGGCTTTCCCAATAGGTGTCGTTGTGGACTGAAGGAGATGGCCCTAGCAGCGTGTCTAGGCTCAAGAAGTGGAAGCACCATCCCACAATGAAAGCCAATATTGCAACTAGAGACGCTGAAGCTTTTGAAGGGGATGGAAACAAATAGCGCCAAGTGCCAGCGTCCGGGGTTGGTGTATACGGTCGGCGCTTATTCCCCCGACAACCTGTGTCGCTACAAGCCATGGAATCAGTGGTTAAGTATGGAAGTCGCGATTCGATAACCGATCAGAAACCATGCTAGGTGTGTTGTCTAACAACATTTCCTGAAAAGAGAAAGCTTACCCATCTCCCATGCACGGATCAGCTAAGATGCGGCGCACACTTGGAGGTGCTGGCGGTTACAGGATGGCTCTAATTTGCGAGCAGCACCCGCCATCCCCACTCCTAGCATATCTAACAGCTCGGACATGTTCACAGCTCCCTCATTGGCTATATCAGTGTAGCCGGCGGGGGTAAGGCTACTATCCATTAGCAGCAACGCTAAACTGGCGCCGCTGAATGTGACTGCTACAGGTCACCATCCCGTAGCTCCAACGGCTGAAAAGGTATAGTGGTGTATGCCTTCTTTGTGGCTATGGCGCTTAGCGATTGGCAATCAGTATTGAGCACCCCTCGCAATGTCGATCGGGTTGGTAGCTGCATCGTTAGGCATAATTGGTGTAAATATGGATCCAAGACGCTGCCGGCAAGGTGGTGGGCGCTTAAAGCACTGCCTATATGAGGATGGTGCCCCGACATTTGCTACTGGGTCTTCTGCGACTATTTAAGGGGTCTGAAACTTGCCATCGGTATATTGCGGCTGCCGTGACCTTCCTCCCCTCACAACAGTGCGATCAAATTCAAGCGCGCTCTGTCTGCATGAGCAGGTCGTCAAACGAATTGAGACAAACCTTCCCACGCGAAGATACGGGTATCGGAGCGAAATCTCACCAGAAATCGCCAGGATGAGTGTCAGCATGGACACGACAGAGTCCAACTATCCTCCCGAGACGGATAGTAGTGGTACCGTCACATCATACATGCCACTCACCTCAGTATGGACGGCTTCCTCGGGATGCGAAAGCAAATTTCGCCTTGACGGACCTAGTCTCATGGCCTGGGACCCTGGATATATGCTTGACATAGATACCAATGCTCGACGTTGTCCACCTCAGATGGTGACTTGGTGGGAACAAGCTCTGCTCGGTGTTGGAGGTCAATATCACACACACAGATGGAGATTGGGCCGTTCACTGGCCCGGAATCGTGGCCAACGGTCGCATCATCAATTAAGAATGAATACAGCACGCTATGGATGTGTTGTCCATCGTAAGTGCGCTTGCTTTATTAGGGTCTACATCGCATTCTGCAAACAACATACTGACCGTACACAAACAGAGGTTACTTTCTATCTCAGGGAACAGTCGGGCAGGTAACTGGAAGGTGCATGTCAAGCGTTTATTCCGGGCAGACTTTGACATACGGATCAACGCCGTTAAGTGACCATACAGCATGGTCAATAGCGACAACGACATTGACAACAGATTCGACCGTTGGGGCAATCGATTTAGTTGGCTGGGAGATAAAGTACCCCGTCACGGCCACAGCAACAGCCACAACTACGTCAACGGCGACCGCGTCCACCTCCTCATCCACTTTAACTTCGGTTCCATCAACAGCAGAGGACAATACTTCAACTTCTGGGAATACCCTGAGCACTGGTGCCAAAGCCGGAATTGGCATTGGTGTTGGGGTGGGCGCAGTGGGCATAATCGCTTTGATCCTGGCTTTATTCCTTTTCAACCAGCGGAAACGACTCGCCATAAACAGTCAGCAGCCGGTCGCTGCATACGCATACTATCCGCCATTTGCAAGGAATGCGAAGCCCGCTGAGCTACCAGGGTATAGGGGTATGCCTGGTGATGCGTGGGCTTCCTCACCTGTGGAAATGGGCGAGAGGTAAATATAATAAAGTTCTACTGAAATTTCGCACATTCTTGTCTCTTTATATATTTGTACATATTTATCATTATATTTTCTGGGTAATACGATAATAGAGCCTACAGAGTATATTTATTTTCACGGATGAATACCATTGTTTATGCGACTACATACAGCTCTCAGTCAAGTCTGTGGCAAGGGCCGGAAATGGCCACTTTCCCCGACCACATGAAGCGTACTAAGAATATCATCTCGAAAAACAAGATAGACCGACCAGATCTTTCCACTGGCTGATCAGCGCACACAGCCCAGAATTAAGATAAACCACAACCCTGTCATGGTTCATTATCACGGAGAAATGAACGTTGGGTCCAGGACCGCACTAATGGCTGCATTACGCCGTCGCAACTATCCAGAAACTAGACTACGCTCATAACAAACTAACAAGCGCCGCCAACTTTAGTACACCACCTACACCCCACACAGTAACAATCATCACACCATCCATACACCATTAATTTAGCCGTCCACCGTGGTCTATGCGCTTAATGGCCAGGGCAACTGGCCCCGGGGTCAACGGTACCTTGCACGTGCAGCATTAGTCTTTGCTTAGGGACACTCACCAGTTAACTACCTGCCTCATATGGTTAGTCGGGGAATAACTTGGACCGGCAACTCATTAAATATTAATCTCAGTTAATGTGATACTTTCGCATCCACAAGTTCATCGTTGAGCATTCTTGTTAATGAATTTGAACATGTTCTTGTTTCCCGAAAAACAGACGCATCATAAAACCGCCCGAATCCCGCGTGGATTCCGGCCCGTCCTGGAGCTAAGCTAAACTCAACCGAATCCTTAACAGGCGAAAGAAGAGCACTGGCCTATGACCACGGACCAACTAGGCCCCGAACAGTTCCGGGGAGGGAAGCTATCCCGAGCTGCCAGCTTAGCGCGCGGAAGTCACTTGCTCCTCTTCTTCCTTCGCACTCGGACGATCGACTCGACATGATCCTGCGATTATATTCAGTTTCTTCATAAAAGTGTCAACTTTTGTCATCTTTCATACATGTGCATGATCCTGCGAATCGTAAGGCTGACATATCCCCTTTTTTGCTTTTCTCTCCTGTGGTCAGGCGCCGTCGGCGATCTTCCGGTTGCATTTCGGTTAGCAAAGGCACGAGGGGTAATCGTTATATTAGGATGAGACCCTTAGTCTAATTAATGGGTGGCACTAAAAACAAGCGGTGCTATCACACTGCCTCCGCGCTACGTCGAACAATCTCATTCGGTGTTACAAGATCCCTACATCAATGGACCCCTGCACGGTCTTCCCAGCTGACTTGATAGGCCTCTACCATTCGTGCACCCCTCAGTTCGGCCAGAACCATTCGGCTCAGCCGCTGTTTAGTGCTTGGCCTAGTCGCTATCCGAGCAGGCCGGATCCCCTCCCTAAGCAATCTCTAGCCCCAAAAGGGCATCCGCAGCCCATTGTTGTCTGTCAATCAACAGATGGAGGCGAGCGGCGCGCAGCCAACATCCTGCAGATTCTTACCACATTTGACAATGGCCAGAGGTTAGCTGCAGGACCGGCGCCGTCATCCAGCGATCAATCGATGGCCAGCACCCCAAATACCCATGCTATCCGTTGGGGTTTTAGTGTCTACCCTGCTACTTGTTTCGGGTAGGCTGTGAATTGGTTTGGTTATATGGGTGTCCTCTCCGCCCTAAACTGCGCACCATGCTTTCACCCTTCTATTGCGATCTCGCCCACCAGGAATGGAACCAGAATGAAAGAACCCACCATGCACCGTGCATACTTCACGATGGGCCGGAGCCAGCGATTCTGGCTCAGGTCGTTATCTAATGTGGTGATGGCTTTCATGGTCGTTGTTGGCCTAATGAAGATCTTCACCCAATTCCGTGAGTCTACTTCATTCCAAGTTCCGTTGTAACTTGTATAAGGCTAACCTTCCCAGAAAGCCCCCACGAGGCGCAAACATCAGAGCCTCAACCTGTTATCCGCAAGGTCACTATGGTCTATGGTAACAGAACCTCTTATTATCGAGGTTTGAAGACCCATGAGGATCATTCACTCAAATTCGGATATCATATGACCGTGCTGCGTAAACCCATCCTGGGGGGATACTGGAGTAAACCTGCCATTCTCCTATCCGCTCTCATTGAAGAAATGGAAAAGCCAGAAGAAGATCAAGCAAAATGGTTATTGTGAGTTTGCCAATCCAGCATGTGAGGAGACTCGATTATCACTATCGTAAACTAACCAAAATTCCCAACGAACAGTTGGTTTGATGGAGACACTATCCTTATGAACCCCAACATTCCCCTCGACATCTTCCTCCCACCTCCCCAATTTGACGATACTCATCTCCTCATGACCAGCGACTGGAACGGCATGAACAACGGAGTTTTCTTTATCCGCGTCAATCAGTGGGCCATCGAATTGCTTTCTGCTACACTTGCCTACCCAACATCACATTCCGAGGTTAGCCTATTATTTGCAGACCAGTCCGCCATGGATAACGTTATCCTTGAGCACGAATACTTTCGCCGTTCTATCGTTTTCTACCCCTTGCGATGGTTCAATGCTTACCCGCGAAACGCCGATGCTGTGGACCTCAACCCCGATCGCCCCGTGGACTCCCAAGTACATCATGGCGATCTTCTTGTTCACTTCCCCGGAGCACCACCAGATCGGTTTGACGAGATCATGGACCCCTACCTCAAGGTAGCCGAAGCGCATACCCCGGAATGGGAATTGCCTCTTCAGAAGACGGGATACATGAAAGAGATAACGGACTTTTGGCGGGACAGACATGAGTTGTTATTTGGGGATACACCTGAGTCGTCTGACAACCTTGCTTGATTGGGCTGGTCCCAAGGATTCATGTTTATTGTATACAAAATAACCCGTTGGCTTTTTGTCGCAAACATCGCTCATCGAATGCCGGCACATTGATGAACGCGACAATGTTTTGGGACAACATATAAGTACTATGATTGTACGACTAATCCACCGTTCCTAAGGGGATTATCGTTGCTTTTGCTCTAACAAACCCCATGATACCACATCTCAATGCAGTCTTTCTTGAAGTTATCATATCTCCGATACTCCTCCATGGTCCCATTTGTAATACTACCCACCAACAATAACCCAGCCATGTAGATCAAATGACCTACTCCCGCCGCGTGCCCATAGCCACAGTGCGTGGAGCAATGTGTACACCTCCCCACCCAAAAGCGGCTCCTTTCGGCCGGAGCCGCTGATCACAATCGCTTAGTTGGTTGGGTTGGCCGTGCCAGACACCACGGCGCTTACACAACATATCCCGTTGGTCAGGATATATTATCGGGCTCGATCAGGTATAAGAATATCATTTGGATCTAATTGAATTGGTCAGGTCAAACTCTCTCAATAATGTCCGATCCCTGCTTAGACACGCTTAGATCAAATTAGTAGTCATAACATATTCATGCAGACGTCGCCAGTATCATGGGCGTTATTATTAGTTGCATTTTAATGCCTTGTGTGTGGTTGAGTATGGTTTCATAGCACATGGTAATATTGCAGATTCCGACATGGGCTGTGCTTGCATTCATCGTCTTATGTGAGTCTTGCCCAGGAATGCTATGTTTTACATAAGTACTACCCTGGTATCATTTTCTTCTCAGCCAAACTTATATATAGCCCAAGAGTCCAGACACACGCGCATACACACACACAAACACGCATACCATTATACTAGAGTTACTCACCAACAGTTGGCAAAGCAGCCATTAGAACATAAGCACTAAGAAGAAGTGCTTCCCTTCGAAAGCCTGCAGCAAATACTTACTACAGCAGGAGTACCTAGTAAAGTATCCCGCCCGGAAGGGGACGTCATGTCTCAAAACAAACTATCCACTAACGTAAGCCCGTACTCGATCTTCTTCCAGTGAAAAGTATATTCAGCTCAAAGTTAACCTCAGGTAATACATGACTCCAACAAATAGAATGCACTACGTATGCAGTTTTTCGATTCTTACTTAGTCAAATGCCGAATGGGTGTCGGTGCATGATTGGCTCTCTTAGTTCTTACCCCACAGTTCAAGTTCTATGAGTGGGTGGGTGGGTGGATGAAAGAATCCTTTGCGGGGATAAGCTTTCTCACGTATATTGCCGGATTTGGGTTGGAATTTACTTGTCTATACGAGGATTGGGAGGAGAAGGTTCATGGGATGGTTTGCCAAGGGGTATTGTGGTGCATTATGAGATGGGTAGATGGTAATACTAGTAGTAATAAGGGATTGTAGGTACAGTTTCTGTGTCTGGCTCGATAGGCTATATAAGGTCGAGTATTTCCACTATGTTTTTCGAAACAGAAGCATCAGCTCTTGATTGCGTCTATCAACTTCATTCATCTGAAGTTCCATCTATTGGTCACAATGATTGCTCCTGCTACCGACGATAAGAAGGCTTCCTTCGCACGCTTTAATGCTACCGCTACCTCTACTGACGTCTTCGTCGAGGCAATCCGCCGAGACGGAGGCGTAATTGTAGAGAGCCTTATCACTCGCAATGCAGCCGAACAGATCAAACAAGATCTCAAGCCCCACTTCGATAAAGATATACCAGACAAGTATGGCTTGTTTCCTCCAACCACCCAGCGTGCTACCGGATTGCTAGGCATCTCAGATGCCTGCGTCGACTTGGCTTGCAATCCAACATATATAAGCATTGCCAATGCACTTGTCTCATCCAGCTATTCCTTCTGGAGGGGCGATCATAAGGTGACGGTGTCTGGAAAGCCGATCATCTCTAGCACCGCTGGGTTCCGGGTAACACCGGGAAGCAAGCAGCAGGTGCTTCATCGTGATGATAAGTATGTCTGCAGGGACCTGTGCCAGGCTGAGTAGGCTGATAGGATAGCAGTGACTATCATCCACATGATGCTCAACTGCCTGTGATGATTGGCTGTGTGACCGCGTTGACGAAGACAACCAAGGAGAACGGAGCGACCGTGGCCATTCCAGGTTCACATCTCTGGGGCTCGGAGCGGCAACCATTAGATGAGGAGGCTGTTCCTGCGGAACTGGAACCCGGTGATGCGTTTATATTCTTGGGAAATCTGTATCATGCTGGTGGTGCGAATGTCAATGAGTATGTTGCTCCTTTCTTCATTTCTTTGCCGCACTCTGGTGACCATTTTGGTGTATAGAAACGATTACCGCGAAACGGTGGGAATCTTCCTCTGCAAGCCGACGCTGCGTCCCGCCGAGAACCAGTTCTTGGTCGTTCCTTTGGAACGAGTTAAGAGCATGAAGCCCCAAGCCCAGAGACTTCTAGGGTATGGGGTCTGCGAGCCCGGTGTTGGCTTCATGCATTATCAGGATCCGATGAGGGTGTTGTTCGGCGTTGAGGATGAAGAAACTGTTGATATGTGATGGCGTGACATATGAGCTGCAGGGAACCACCCGCAGATAATATTCAATAGTGTGCTAGATACGGAGTATTCTCCGAGCTCATCCACCTCAGAACACAAGAAGATGGCCCAGCTGTTGTTTGGAATCTCGACCATACTGTATCCATTTCCCGGTACCATGATGCTTTGAGCTGGACCAGAATGCACGCAGAAAGTCCAGTGCCCTGTGGTTGCACCACAACCCAGTCGTCACAAGTAGCTTTAGCAGAATCTGTTCAACTATTCGTTGCTTATCCTCATCTCCCCAACACTCTGTGCCAGCAATGAACAGAGGAAAGAATAGGTCCTGTGAGAATGCATCACCGGAAGCCAAGACAACCTTTTGAATTCTATCAAGCAGTATGGGTACGGTAGAGGAGACGGCTTTCATCATTGCGGTTGGAGATGCAAAAGCCTGATGAAGGTAGATAAGCGACGCGTAATAATGTGTGTCTATGAGAGCTTCAAAGCCTTCTCGCGTAGTCTTCCCCTGGGACAAGAGACATGTGATATCCGACAGACTCATTTGTGTGGAGGCCTGCTCTAGCTTTGCTTGCCAGATATTGAAGTTGACATCAGGTGGCTGTCGGCCTTCAATGAGATACCCATAATGATGTCTTTCCATAGCAGTGATGTCATTAATCAGGTCTGTAAATGTCCATGGCTGGAACTCGATTGCTGTAGTCGCTACTTTACTGCTGCCTGAGAAGGAGAAGACATTATTGAATACCTCAACGTCCCTGATCTCTTTGATCGCAAATTGTGTCATGGGATCGAGAGTCTCGTTGCGAGCGCACACTCCATACCTGCTTACGATGGCACGACAGGCATGTAGATGAGTAGTCCAGTCAGTCGAATCGCGAGTCACCAATTCCGCATGGCAAAGTGTAATCGCAGCAATGAGAATTCTAGTCAGACATAGCTGGTCAGGGGGCTTCACGGCATGACAGTCTAGTTGGCGCTGGATCTCTTGGTTTAGGCTGCGTAAGGCAATATCTCTTAGGCTAAAATTGACCTGTTTCATACGTAATGCAATGGTACCAGTAGATGTGGCTGCTAAGTGAGCAGCAGCGAGGTTCAGTATAGACAGGCGGACACTTATAGACCCTTGCGCCAGAGGCAGCACGATCTTTCTCCAAGGATTTTTGTGACTGTCGATCCACGAGAATATGCTTACAACGTGGCGGCTAAAATGATTGATCAGTCTTTCACCCAGGACCGTCGATGACTGGCGGCGACCGAGACCATCATCTGTCAGAGGGTGAGGGATCGGCGGACTGGCCTCCACAACAAATGTATGGAGGATAGAAGTACCATGCTTGACGATGTAGCCTTCCGTTTCTCGATCTTGCGGACTGAATCCAGGTCGAGTTAAAGACTGGTTCCCTCGACGTGCCATGGCATGGTTCCAATTCAATTGAACTGCGTCGAACCCAGGACAACCGAGCCCCCGAATAGTGCACTTACGGCACTGTGGAATAGTCCGATCACATTTTATGCGTCTTTTTGTGCATAAACGGCAGTCTGGAGGGTCAGCAGGGTTTGCAATGAGTTGTGATCGATCTCCGTACCTCGGGTTGCAATTTTCCGATCGGCAGGGAGAAAGTCATTCCGAACATTCTTCATCGTGCAAGCCGGTTGGGGAATATACCCCGGCGACAAGCATATGTAGAACTGATATTAAGATTAGCTGGTACTTGGAGGCCTTAGCGACTTGTGTCGTGGCATGGAAATCCCAGATGGATTCCTATCGTTGCCATGTTCGGGGATGGATGAGTGGATAACAAATTGATAGCATCAAACGGATGGTTATCGCTGAGTGGGTCACATGATCTCCCACATATAGGACGACGGGCATTATTTCCTCCTACGATAGTGTCTATGGACTCATCGAGCTCAATCGTTCGACTTGAGAGTATTCAACTTTAGGTTTTAATCCCCGTTGTTACAACTATTGGCCATTTTGCAAGGTTCGAAAAATGCTTGATATTACTATATTTTGCCTATTCCGGTATGTCTCGGCGAGGCTGCGGCCAAGGCCGCCAACAGCCGTTTTACCGTATTAGGCAAGTGTCGGCGGCTGTACATGCAATTGCAAGGGGACCAGCTTCTGTATACTGAACACCGAAAGGCATAAATAGAGCTCATCATTCCCAGAATGCACTTTGAACTTCACTGAAAAGCATACTAGAGCAAACGACTTCTCAAGTACTCGATCATCACAATAAACGCTATCATGAGTTCCATCCAGATTGCAGTTGTTGGCCTTGGCCGAATGGTACACATCTATCCCCATCTCAGAGTATTGCATTACTGTGCTAATGTATATCCAGGGCAAGCGCCATGTGCATACATTGCTCTACCGAGTCCCACGGGCAAAGGTGGTGGCAGTCTGCAGTACCGATGCTAGCGAGATTGAATGGGCCACAGCCAACCAAGAGTACAACGACTTCGGCATCACCGTTTATGACAACTACGACAACATGTTGGCTCATCCTGGACTTCAGGCAGTCTGGATCTCGAGCAGTACCGACGTGCATGCAAGCCAGTCCCTGGCAGCTATCAACAAGGATCTGCATGTCCTTTGTGAAAAACCCCTGAGTACGGACTTGGCTGAGGTATGCTATTACTGGCGTAACTGATGAACCCACGCTGACATTTCGACACTAGGCCCAGTCAGTGGTTGATGCAGCAAGAGCCAAGCCTTCACTCAAAGTGATGGCTGGTTTCTCGCGCAGATTCGATGCCTCCTACCGGGACGCAAGTCAGAAGATCTTCGACAAAAAGGCCATTGGATCGCCATTTCTCGTCCGGTCAAACACCTGCGACTTGAAGGATGAGACTGGCTTCTTCGTCCGATACGCATCACGCAACGGGGGTATCTTTGTCGATTGTGCCATTCACGACATTGACTTGTCGCTCTGGTTCTTGGATAACCCGACGCCCAAAGCTTGTTGGGCAGCTGGAACGCTTCAGCATCACCCAGAGCTGAAAGACCTGGCAGACGTCGACAATGCGGTCGGTGTTGTTGAGTTCTGGGGCGGTAAGATTGCATACTTCTACTGCTCGCGGACCCAGGCACATGGACATGATGTGTGCACCGAGATCACCGGAACCGAGGGCAAGGTGATGGTCAACGTGATTCCGCGACAGAACAACGTTGTCCTTGCCGATAAACTGGGTATGCGACACGAAGTGCAGCCGGAATACTGGGAGCGATTCGAGAACGCATTTGCCGTGGAAGCCAACGAGTTTGTGAACGCAGTGCTGAAGGATACCGAAGTTCCGCTGCCGCTAGAGCGAGGAATCATGGTGATGAAAATTGGACAAGCTCTGCAACGGGCTCTGCTGTCCGGGGAGGTAGTCCGGTTTAACGAGAATGGCGAGCGACTGAACTGCAATGAATTGCATTGATCCTGTCAAGCACCGAAGCTCATAGAATTGTTAGTGAAATGAAACGCTTATCTTGATGAAATTATGTCTAGTGGGAGAATGCAAGGAATGCGGGGATGTGGGGAACTTCCCCTCAAGGCGGCTTTTGGCCCAAAAGAGTAGGCCGCGCCGTCGAATTGCCGTTACCGCCAATTGCTTCACATCCAACAATGCCATCATCCTCGCAGTCTACACTGGCACGGACGCCTTGCTCTAATTGCCGTGGTGAGAGCTGGAAACATCCCCTTTTGGGATCACTGGCTGGTGCTAATTTATCCCAGAGAAACACGTGAGATGTAGGTCTGCTTCGGAGCCTGAACAACCCCGATGTCTGCTCAACTTGGATATAGGTGATAAACAGCAACCGACATGCACACGATGTAAAGAAAAAGGCTTGGTCTGCAGGCCAGTGCAGCGCAAGTCGGTCTTTCGTCAAGGGTCAACAGCCGAGCTTGATGGGAACTTCTCGAAAGATCAATCTTGGATGAGCAGCCAGCCAAGGAAATGGAAGCTGTTTTCCGGAGACTCTTCACTCTCGGAGTCCCTGGATGTGGCTCAGAGCCCATCACCATACCAAGAGTCAACAGTGCAATGCGAAACTCCAACATCCGGAGAAACAGGTGATCTTGTCTGGACTCGCGATGATGACAGTCATCGTGGCAATCACTTTGAGATTCAAAGCTCACCTTATGATCCGTCCCGGAATGACTTTTACCCCGTCGTATCTGGGGATACGGCCAACGTCAACAGACGGACTATTCTTGCACATGAGTGGAATACTGTGAACAACCCTAGTAGAAATCCCACGATCAATCGGACGCAACCATCATCAACAGGAATTGAAACACAGAGCGCTTTCTCCACCCCCGAACCCGCGCAGACCACCGTACAAGAGGCCTGTCTCCTACGCCATTTCATCGAAGAAATATCACCATGGGTAAGTCACCAATGCCTTACGATACCTACTCAACTAAATCACCTCAGTTCGACCACTGTGACGACCGTCGACACTTCCAACTAGTCGTACCGCGCCGAGCCCAACACTGCTCCATCATACGCAACGCTCTCTTCGCAGTTTCAGCACGCCACCTATCTCGTCTCCCACAATACGCCACACCCAATGGAATTTGCTATCGCGGACAGCTTCTCCCCAATCTACAGAAATGCACAGCGGTGGAATACACCCTCAAATGCATCCCCGAGCTCCTCAAATTCCCTGAGATAACCGATCCTACTGAACAAGAAAACATAATGGTCGCCACGGTTATTCTCCGCCAATACGAAGAAATGGAAGAGGATATCGAGGACCCCGACATGTCCACACAGGACAGAGTGAACTTTCTAGCCATCACGCAGAGAATCATCGACGCTATGATATCCCACCGGTTGGAACAGTCTCTCGCTACTGCGGCGTATTGGATCGTTATCCGACAGGAGGTATACTACGCGCTGACGAGACAGCGTGCACCCAAGATGCGATTCAGTTCTGAGGACTGGAGAAAGGCCTCTGCTGCAAACACATTGGTAATGCTCGCTAGTGAAGTGACGAAGTGGCGCTGGGGAGACGGTACGCGTGAGGAATGGAGTTTGTTACCACCCTTACTACTATCTATCCACCTTTTACCTCACTAACCAGTCCTCACAGATCGCCTCATGCTCCGCCACCGCAAACTCCAACACGACTACCGCCACGAGCTTGCACCCCTCTTCGAAAAGAAAGCAGATCGATCCCGCGGCGAACTCTTCCCTACAATCTGGTACAGCTCCGACGAGCAAGTGACCGCATTGCAGCACCTCGAGATAGCTAATATGATCTTGACAGCCCAGAACCCATACCTATCGTACGTTCCACAACCCCCACATTCCCTATCTAAATCCAAGATCAAAGTACTAACTAACGTATCAGAAACTCCACCCGTGCCGCACACCGCAAAGCAGAAGCAGAAGTCCGATCCATCGTGCTCAGAATATGCGGTATTGCGGTGCACCATGCACGCTGCCATCCGGCGTTAGTCACTGCCGTGATAGCTATTACTCTCTACGGAGAGTATTTTACTGAGTTGGAGGAGCGCGAGGCGCTGGTAGGGATTATTGATCGGACGCGTGATTTGCATTCGTGGCCGATGCAGAAGTGCTATGCGCGGTTGAGGAGGGGGTGGGAGGAGATGGATCATTGTGGTTAGTCCTTGAGTGGGGGTTAGTAGATTGTGTCATTATGGTCTACGATAGAATTTTGATTTGGTATATACATATTTGCAGGGGATCTTCCCAAGATTGGGATATTGCTGTAATTGCATTGGATATCGGTGCGTCACTGATGTGTATAGTTACAACGAAGACAGTATGATGCGACATAGATGAAGTACAGTTAAGCCCTCCGCCCCCTCTTCGGCGCAATCGCCTTCACACACGACCACGACGTCAAATAATCCGCGCTCTGCAGGGCATCCTGCAAGACATAATCTTGACCACTCATAATTTGCTGCTGAATGCGCTCAATATGCCCCACGGTAGACATATACTGATCCACCGTAGCGGACGGCGAGCTCGCATTGGAACTTGACCCAGCATCCGACTTCTCATCCATTGTCCCTGCTGGCACATTCTCCGCATCCTTCTTGATATCCGCTTTCACAAATTCCAGTAGGAGAAACGATGCCCACTTCGACTCGAACAGTCCCTCGCGATGCGGCCATTGCTGTAGAACTTCGATGGCGCGTAGTCGTACCCGGATATCGTAGCATCCGAATGAGATTAGGTACAGGCTGGGCAGGATGCCCACGTCGAGTGTGAATGCTGGTCGTTCTGGGTACCGCTGTAATAGTGCCTCGACGAGGTATAATGCTTCTTGGTACTCTGGTGTGTAGAGGTCGAGTACGGCGGGGTTCTTGGCTAGGAGGCAGGTTTTGACGGATAATGTGAGGGTCCGGTGGAGGATGTAGATGATGTCGGAGCCGCGTTGCTCTTTTCGTGTGAGGGTGGGGTATGCATGGCTGTAGAATGGGGTGAATAGTTCGGCGTAGTGGGTGAGTTGAGAGAGAAGTTGGTATTGACGCGGGAGCAGGGAGTTGTAATCTCTCGCCACGTCGGCGGGTGATAATGGCCAGGACTGGGATGTGAATCGAAATACTCCACTGACTAGGGGCTCGATGGCTTGACGGGCCTCGATCAGGCTTGTGAAGGAGTCGGAATCCTTCAGTTGCCATTGGTATTTGCCTAGTTCGTTGTCCACGCATAGGACTGGTCCGTCGACACCGTAGTATGTCGACTGGATATCTAGCTGTACGAATGCTGCCACTAAGCATTTCTCTACCGGTGATTCGGTCTCGTCTGCTAGAGGCTCCTGGACCTTGAGCTCTCGGAGTATGCGTAGACCACCTTGGAGGTGGTGGCATGCTCGCTCGTATTGGCCTTGTAGGAGCTCTAGGAGCGAGTACAGAAGACAACAGAGCAGCATGACTTCTCGCAAGCGGGGATCACTCGCATGCCGTCGACTCAAGATCCCGAACGAGCGTGCGGACTGTTCGAGTGCAAACTTCTGCCAGGTATTCTGCCGAGTCTGGCCTGGCAATGGCATCCCCGATACTTCGACGTCCTGGTGTACGGCGCTCAAGGCTACCGCAGCGTGGTAGACCGCTGGCTCGGAGTAACTGATCTGAAGGACGAGCTGTTTCCATAGTTCCGAGTCGAATAGTTCCAGTAATCCTGGGATTGTGAAGTGTTGAAAGTGCGAGAAGCAGCGCCGCTCGTCGGATGTTATCGCCCAGCGAAAGCCATCCGTTACCTGAGTGAGTAGGTTTTGGGGATGACGGTGAGTGTTATTTGCTGCGCGGGGTAGTCGGTGGATGTCGTAGGTGCAGGAGCGCCCGGTTGATGTGCAATTTTTACATTGGTTTGGAGTTTCGTCGCACTTAATACGGCGGGCGCTGTTGCATGCGATAAAGGAATTAGCGGCCGCGGCAGTCGAGTGAGGACTGAATGGTAGTGACTTACCGACAGGTGCGACACCCATTCCGCGATCTTGTGCCGTCTGCTCTCCTCCGCTTCGTCGGTTCTGATGTAGTGGGCTTTCGAGACATGGCTGCGCGATACGATATTGCAGTTTTTCAAGTCAGGAAATGGAAGAAGGGTTTTGAACAAAACCTAAGACATGTGCAATGCGTGAGGGGGTCTTGGGGTTGTAGCTGCGGGACACTAGGCTGACGAACCTCAAGTTCTGGATTGACCAATAGTGGATTTGAGACTGCAGCCATGGCGGGTTAGTGGTTGCTAGTGAGTCTTCCGGTCCTGTTAGCTCTGCAATAGGTGGGACGGAGCAGTGCAGAGCAGCACTGCCATCGCGTCGACGGCCCACAGGGGAAGGGGACCATCCGGGAAAAGCGGAGGGATTCGATCCACTGATGAGCCCCAATAGGCAAACGGGACACCCAATTAATATGGCCTAAATATGTGACAGGCAGGCAGACTCGCCAAGTCAGATTGTTTCAACTGGAGACGCAGTGAACGGAGGCTGATTTATGCTCCGCTCCGGGCCGGAGCCCCGGAGTGGCACCAGGCACCATTTGCGCCCCCAAAATCATGCTGTGAGGCTAGATTGAATATTTGTATTAACTCTGCATCTTCGTAGCAATGGTACGTTTTTAATGGCGTGCAGGGGGCATTCCTGATTGCTACAGTTGCTGTACTTCAAATCTGGCGACGAGTGTCATCAGCGCCTTTCTTGGACGCATTAGCGAAGCAACAGTAAGCGAGTATACTCACAATTACATTGAACACTCTTCTCCGCATGGCCTACTCGGACACTCATTGTTGAATTGATTTACTTTCATCGTAGGAAGTTAGTCCGGAAAATGAAGAGCAAACTGCGCAATGACAGCTTTATCGCATCTCGTCAGTCGACGGGCGTCTAACCATCATATTGGATCCGCTTGGTCAGGAGTTAGTGGCAGCCGTACAGACACATGCAATAACGAGGTTTAGTCTCTGTCACCCCTACCACATCGGGTAGAAGCTCATCGTGGGCCAG